AAAAAAAAAAAAAAAAAAAAAAAAAAAAAAAACATTGAATAAGTCGAGAAGCTATCGTTTTAGCTGTTTTGTTGTTGGTACGTTGATTATTGTTTTGACTCATTACGACCACATGACAGGATAATCCACTAAAACCAACAACCTAGCCTTCTCCAAACGAAAGTTCTAAACTTTTTTACGGCTCAATCCGACGCGCAAAATTAAAATTTTAGAGTTAAAACAAAACTAACCCGTATGGTGAATACAGAACCGGAGGTGGCGGAGGAAGTGGCGGGAGGTTCAACTGCAACGGCGAAGCCGATTGCACATTTACGCCACTCTGAAGTCGTCCTACACGCACAAAAAAAAAAAACATAACGAAAAACTCAAGACATCAAAAAAAGAGGGAATTGAATTAGAAACCTCGTGGAGGCGAAGGACGAGGGCGTCCCAATGCAGCAATATTACAATTAGCTCGTCGCCCGTCAATGATCGGGTTAGGATTCAAACAAGCCCTTTTAGCCGACTCGGGGTCACGAAACGTAACCTAAAGAATCGAATTCAAAACGTCGTTCGTTACGAAAGAAGAAAACAAAAAAGGGGAGAGTAACTCACAAAGCCATAGCCTTTGGATTTAGAGGTAATTTTATCAGTAATTATAACAGCTTCAAGAATGTCACCAAATTCCTCAAAATAACGTCTCATTTCCTCGGTGGGAGTCTCCCAAGCAAGGCCGCCCACGAAGACCTTAGTGAAAGTGGTGTCTCCAAATTGCGACCGGTAATGTGGGTAAGCCGCCATGCCCTCCCCGAAAACGACGTCGTACACGAGCTTCTCTTCTTCTGCATCAAATATCACAGCCGGTGAACCACACGGTTTAAGCCGTTGGTGGTTATAATTTGATAGATTGTTTGCAGAGGAGAGAGAGAAAATCTCCGACAGCTGCAAACTCTAATTTGCTGGATGGGGAGGTGGAAGAAGTGGGTTGGTGGGTGATGGAATCGGAAATGACAGGTGAGTGAGAGAAGTGCTTCTCTGTATTTCTCTGTATTTGCATTAAAATGCACTCTCCAACTCTCCAATCAAAATAATTATTATTTAATTTCATCATAGTTGAGGGACTGTTTGTGCAATTTTTATTTATTTATTTTTTTTATTGAGAGCTGATCTGGTGCTTTGCTTTCGACAGCTGATTACTTCAGTTTAATAAATGAGTACACTTTCAATAATTAATATGTCCACACAATTACTTCACTAATTTTTTTTTAATTAATAAAAATATTTTCTACTGAAAAAAAAAAAAATCAAATAATTACATTATTTTAAAAATATCTATAAATTTTAAAGAATTAAAAAATTTAAATTTTTTTTTACCGTATATCTACGCATCACAGATATGGAGGAGCATTAAAAGAGAGGGAGGCACGACCACGACCAAGGTTTAAGTAGTAATTGACCAACCAAAGTCTTTTTATTTATTTATTTATTTATTTATTTGTGTGGAAAATGGATGGTTTATGATAGACATGTTCTTAAATATATTTTAAAATTTTATTAGACGTAACATTTAAATTTAATAATGAATATTTTAATTAATTTGTAAAAAATTGTTTGTTTTTTAAACTCTTCTAAATTTTAATTATATTTTAAATTAAAATATTAACCATTTTATTTTAATTATTTTAATTACTCAATGAAAGGGTAGAATGGGGAATTTAAAAGCTGCAAAATTTCAGAATACAGCTGAGTGGAGGCTGCAAAATCCCTTACCCCTGTCCCTTCCCTTCCTTGCCCTTTCCCACTTTTGGCATTAATTCTCGCCCTAAACTCGGGTCGGGATTGTATTCTCCGTCTTCTTTCTATTCCTACAAGACTTTCAATTCGTGTCCCGTCTCGATCGGTTTAATGCTCTCAGGTTGCGGTCAGGGATACCTTATACGTCTCCATCTATGATATTAAATTGAAATTAAAAAAATTATTCTAATTTCTTACCTGTTTTGTATTCAACCCCACGTGACGTTTACTTTTTTACCCTATAAATATTACCGTATAAGGTAGTAATTTTCATAACGTTAGTTGATATTATAATGATTATCCAAAGGTTAAGAACATGCAGCCATGTTGTGGTTTTTTTTTTTTTTTTTTTTTTTTTTTAAATNTCATATTTATTTATGAAATCATTACATCTTTTATAGAAAGATATGATTTTCTCATAAAGTTGCCTTTTTCTATAATTTCCTTTTTTTTTTTTTTTTGAAAATACCTAACTCATTTATTATATTCCTTCCCCATAAATAATAATTTTTTTAAGAATAAAAAAAAAAAAACAATTACGGGTTTTGGTAAGCCGGTGAGTATTCAAATCTCGAGCTGTTTGATTTGACATTGATAGAAACGGTTATCTGTGGTCTTTTTACGAACAACCGTTGTAATGTGGGTGTCAAGAAATGTTAATTCTTATATGGGGTGATTAAATTTTTAATAAAATTAAATATTTAAAATTTAATTGGATAAATTGGAAGACCCCACATCGGTTAGAGAGTGGAACGGAGTATTCATTATAAAGGCGTGGAAACCTCTCACTAATAGATGCGCTTTAAAACCGTGAAGCTGACGACTATACGTAACGGGTCAAAACAGACAATATGTACTAGTGGTGGGCTTCGGTTGATACGTTTAAATCTATAAATTATTTGAATTTTTTATTTCACAAAAAAAAAAAAAGAGTTTTTTTGTTTTGCCAAATAAGCCCTCGATTTATGAAATTTGAATGGTTTTGTTAAAGGGCATTTTAGTCTTTTTGACACATCCTAATTAATACTCGAATAAATTGTTAAATAAAGAAAGTCGGTAAACAGGTATTTCCATACGTCTAGTTCTGGGCTCAGGCCCAATTTATAGCCCATTAACGATGGAGACCAACCCATTGGGCTTTTCACCAAATCCGTGGGCCTTGTTTGGGCTCAGGCCCAATTGAGTAAAATCGTACGTGTGAATCTCTGACACGGTCAAATGTCGGCGGTAATTTCAGTGTTGAAGATTATAATAATGTCGGAAGAATAATGTTTTTGAATTTGAGGACATTCTTAAAATTCCTTTTTGCCCATTCTCTGCCATTATCATATTTTCTAAGCCCCCCATAATTTCACTTATTTATGAAACCCCCCCACATCCCCACATCTCCCTATTTATTGTCTACTTTAAACTTTAGCAAGTATTTGCAATTATAACCCTACATTTTATGTTACATTGCAATTTGTACCCACTAGTCATCTTCCACTTAAAAACCGACCCTCAAAATATTTCAAAATTTCACAAACGTCCCCCTCTCCAACTCTTTTTGAGGGTCCAGTGTTCTCACTGACACACCGTTCAATGTTTAGCAACCCAAGTCTACCGCTAGCAAATATTGTCCGTTTTAAAATGCATATGTTAGGGAGAGGTGTTAGTGAGGACGCTAGGCCCTGAAAGGACGTGGATTGTGATGTCCCACATTGGTTAGGGAGGAGAACAAAACAACTTTATAAGGATGTGGAAACCTTCCCCTAGCAGATGCATTTTAAAGCCTCGAGAGAAAACCCGAAAAGGAAAGCCCAAAAAGGACAATATCTGCTAGCGGTGGATCTGGGACGTTACAAGAGATTTCCATATCCTTATGAAAGAATGTTTCGTTTCGAGAGTTTGGCTTTGGTTAATGGTAACGTGACCATAAATATAGTTAGTTGAAATATTTAATGATTTTATAGCCATAACTCACGACCCTCTCCCTCAAGTTTGTCTTATCATAAATGGACCGATGTGGGACATTTTTAACCCCTCATTCACGCCTTTAATTTCACCCTCATTTTTTTTTAATTAAACTATAAATTTATTTTAAATTTAATAATTTTATGCGATTAAATTGACATTTTTTTTATAAATAAATTAAATATTTTAATTTAAAAAATGAAAAACCAATTTTTATAATTTTTATTTTATTTTGTAATTGAAAAATCCAAAACCCCTACATTTATAGGAAAAAGAAATAATAATAGGACTTGGTCCATTCCATGTGTTATTGCAATCAATAAAAAAAAAAAAAAAAAAAA